TCGTCTCTTCCCCCCCCCCAATGGGGAGATTTCCCTCCAGTAGTTTGTGTCTCTGCCCCTCCCACAATGGTGAGATTTCCTCCAGTAGTTTGTGTCTCTGCCCCTCCCACAATGGTGAGATTTCCTCCAGTAGTTTGTGTCTCTGCCCCTCCCACAATGGTGAGATTTCCCCCAGTAGTTTGTGTCTCTGCCCCTCCCACAATGGTGAGATTTCCTCCAGTAGTTTGTGTCTCTGCCCCTCCCACAATGGTGAGATTTCCTCCAGTAGTTTGTGTCTCTGCCCCTCCCACAATGGTGAGATTTCCTCCAGTAGTTTGTGTCTCTGCCCCTCCCACAATGGTGAGATTTCCTCCAGTAGTTTGTGTCTCTGCCCCTCCCACAATGGTGAGATTTCCTCCAGTAGTTTGTGTCTCTGCCCCTCCCACAATGGTGAGATTTCCTCCAGTAGTTTGTGTCTCTGCCCCTCCCACAATGGTGAGATTTCCTCCAGTAGTTTGTGTCTCTGCCCCTCCCACAATGGTGAGATTTCCTCCAGTAGTTTGTGTCTCTGCCCCTCCCACAATGGTGAGATTTCCCCCAGTAGTTTGTGTCTCTGCCCCTCCCACAATGGTGAGATTTCCCCCCAGTTGTTTGTGACTCTGCCCCTCCCACAATGCTGAGATGTCCTCCAGTAGTTTGTGTCTCTGCCCCTCCCACAATGCTGAGATGTCCTCCAGTAGTCTGTGTCTCTGCCCCTCTCACAATGGTGAGATTTCCCCCAGTAGTTTGTGTCTCTGCCCCTCCCACAATGGTGAGATTTCCCCCCAGTAGTTTGTGTCTCTGCCCCTCCCACAATGGTGAGATTTCTGCAGCAGACTGATGACATCATCTCACCCTAGGCAATGACAGGGAAGTTGGGGATTACCTGGAGTCTGTTGCTGTATTTTGGGTCAGGAATATTTCCGGTTGGATTTGATACAATGTCACACGCGTGTTTTTGCATTCTTCCTTTATTGTAATACATGTATTTGTAGTTTGGTCAGTAGGGGGCGCCCTCAGTGGAATGACATTAGCCACATGGGGAGTGCATTGTTTTCAGTCAGCTGACTCCTGGACTTGCATTGTGAGAAGAAGCAAAGCACAACCTCCGCGCAGGAAGCAGCGCCCGCATATGTAACACAGAAACATGGCCGCCCCGCCCCCGCACATACGCATGTACATACAAATCATACACGGAATCAGAAACATGAACACACGTCCAGAAGAATATAAACATCGAGCTAAACTACGTCGTCTGTATCTAAAGAGCATCGTAAACAATGGACATTCCCTTAAAAACGGGGTGGGGGAGGGTGGGCGGACTCAGGCCTCCAGCTGTGGGGGAACTACAAGTCCCATGAGGCATTGCAGGATTCCCGCAGCCACAGGCATGACTCCCAGAGACAGATGCATGATGGGATTTGGAGTTTCACCCCCAGCTGGAGAGCCGCATTCCCCCACCTTTGCCTTAAAATGTATGTGTAGCCAAAACCTTTTTTTATTTTATAGATTAGGGAAGGGTTACAATCTGTTTCCTGTACCCGGGGGGGAGATTTCCCTTCACTTCCTGTTCTCTGGACGCAGCAGGAAATTAAAGGAACCCAAAGTGAGGGCAAATCCCATCTTACCAGGAACAGGTGTCCCCCACTGGCTGCTTAACTCTCACTTCCTGTTCTGGTGTAAACTCTAAAATGATCAATCTCTCATCACTTCCTGTTTAGGGAGACAACTATTGGCTGATTGAGCCGGGAGTGAGAACAGGAAGTGAGAGTTAATTCTGGCTGATTGACTCTTACTTCCTGTTCTGGCGACAACTCTAGAACGATTAATCTCTCATCATTTCCTGTTCTCTGTATGCAGCAGGAAATTAAAAGGAACCCAAAGTGAGAGGAAATCCCATCTTACCAGGAACCCCCACTGGCTGATTAACTCTCACTTCCTGTTCTGCTGACCACCCTAGAACGATCAATCTCTCATCACTTCCTGTTTAGGTAGACAACTATTGGCTGATTGAGCTGGGAGTGAGAACAGGAAGTGAGAGTTAATTCTGGCTGATTGACTTTCCCTTCCTGTTCTGGTGACAACTCTAAATTACCAATTTCTCATCACTTCCTGTTCTCTGAACGCAGCAGTAAATTAAAGGAACCCAAAGCGAGGGCAAATCTCATCTTACCAGGAACAGGTGTCCCCGCTGGCTGCTTAACTCTCACTTCCTGTTCTGGTGTCAACTCTAGAAAGATCAATCTCTCATCACTTCCTGTCTAGGTGGAGGCTGTTTGATCCAGGAGTGAGAACAGGAAGTGAGGGTTAATACTCACTGACTGCCTTTCACTTCCTGTTCTGGTGACAACTCTAGAACGATCAATCTCTCATCACTTCCTGTCTAGGTGGAGGCTGTTTGATCCAGGAGTGAGAACAGGAAGTGAGGGTTAATACTCACTGACTGCCTTTCACTTCCTGTTCTGGTGACAACTCTAGAACGATCAATCTCTCATCACTTCCTGTCTAGGTGGAGGCTGTTTAAACCAGGAGTGAGAACAGGAAGTGAGGGTTAATACTCACTGACCACCTTTCATTTCCTGTTCCGGTGACAACTCTAGAACGATCAATCTCTCATCACTTCCTGTCTAGGTACTTCTTGTAGTCCTCAGCTCCTGATCCTCACCCAGTCGCCCCACACGTAGAACACGGCATGGAGGGGCTCGGTGAACGTGGCGGAGAAGGTGTGCACGTGGCGGATGGGACCCCGGAGTTGGTAGAACGAGAGCTGGCCGGCCTCGTAGTCCAGATAGATCCGGAAGCTCCGGCAGGAAGTACAGTACGGCACGGGGGCCACCTCGCTACAATGTATCACGGAATACTCGTGGTTGAACTTGCACAGCCCCCAGGAACGGTGATTGTTCCCGACGTAGGACTGCACCCCCTTGCGGTCAATGCTGGGGTAACACACCCCAATCATCCAGTCCCCCGACTCGCTGGTCTCCACCTCCCAGTAGTGCCGGCCGGAGGTGAAGCTCCTGCTGCTGATGACCTGGCAGTACTGGAACCTCTCGGGGGTCTCCGGGCGATACTGGCTGACCTCCGACCAGGAGACGGTCTTCAGGTCCCCCGATACGGTGACGTAGTTGCCGGCGGTGTCCGGGTCAAGCAGGATGTCCAGAGACTCCGAGACGTAGATGCCTCTCTTGACGCCGGTCATGATGTCGGCCAGGCCGGCGTGCAGAGCCGCGGAGATCAGACCCTCGTCCAGGTCGTCGGACTCGCAGATCCTCCTGTAATCCCGCTCCCTGGCTTCGTCGTCCCCGTCCTGGGGGTCGCAGAGGTCGTCCCTCGGGAACTCCCTCCCCTGCAGGACGGTCACCGGGTCGGCCACGTTGCACAGCTCCTCGACGTGGCGCATCTTCCCCGAGAGCTCGTCCCTCTTGACTTCCAGCTGCTGGATCAGATCCGACACGGACAGGGAGACGTGCTCCTCCCACCCGGAGACCTCGCCCAGGACCCTCTTCTCCAGGAGGTCCAGCTGCTCCCGGATGTCGCGGAAGAGCGCAGAGACCCTCCTGGTCACGCAGGAGGCCTTCTCCTGCACGTCCGTCCTGCGCTTCTGCAGGTTGCGCACCTTCTTCTCCGTCCTCTTTTTCTTGGAGGTCAGCTTCTCCAGGAAGTACCTGAGCCTCCCCGTCTTCTTCTCCAAGGCCGCGTTCAGAGGCTCCACCACGTGGCCCCGGTGTTCCCCGAAGGCGATGCAGGACACGCAGACGCACACGGCGTCCTTGGGGCAGTAGTACTCCAGGATCTTCCTGTGGGCGGAGCATTTCCTGTTCTCCAGGGACGTGTTGGGATCGGAGAGGACGTGCTCCGGGGACTTGCTGTGGACCCTCAGGTGATCTTCGCACAGGAAGGCTTCGCACAGCAGGCAGGACTTGACGGCGGGCACCGGGGCGTGAATGCAGTAGGTGCAGAAGATGTCGCGGGCCTGATATTCGGGGGGCGGCGTGATGAAACAGTCGTCCGCGGCGCGCAGGCCTCTGTTCTCCTGCGGCGCCGGCCTCTCGTGGAACCTCTTCCTGCATTTGGGGCAGGTGTAACCCCCGGAGCCTTCCTCCTCATCCAGCTGGTGGCTGATACAGACCCGGCAGAAGTTGTGTCCGCACCTCAGCGTGACGGGATCCGTGTGCGCGTCCTGACAGATGGAGCAGCCCGGCTCGTCCCCGGACTCCATTATATAGAGAATACAGGAAGTGTCTTTTGGATCTTCCACAGAATTCCGTTCCGCGCGCTACATTTGGCGCGGCGCAGGGAGACGCCGTTGGACCAAGTTTCTGTTTTTCGGTCCAGAATAAACCCGTTAAAAATAAAAAAAAGCGCAGCACAGCGCCGGCGTGATTGCACAGCACAGAACGGAGCGCACAGCCCAACCGATTTCTCTTTTCTCCGTCTCTCTCTGAGCGGAACACCAGACTGTCAACTGTGTTAGAAATCAGGCTGTTGCCAGCTGAGTGAGACATCTTGTGGACAAAGAGGAGATGACAAGGAAGGTGTCGCGGAGTCCCGGCGTCTCCTCTCCGGCGGGTATAACGCCGACATTGGAGCATGCTGGAGGTGTCTCTGATCACACACAAATATCCCCTCTTATGTAGGGAGCGCCGCCTTCCGTCTGCCCGTCACTCCCAACAACTTCCTGGATTCCCAGCGTGCTTTGCGTCTCTTTCCCTGCTGCTCCATGTGATGTAATCTCCATTTCTCAAGACTACATCTCCCATCATGCATTGCTTCCAGTTCAAGACTACATCCCCCATCATGCATTGCTTCCAGTTCAAGACTACATCCCCCATCATGCATTGCTTCCAGTTCAAGACTACATCCCCCATCATGCATTGCTTCCAGTTCAAGACTACATCCCCCATCATGCATTGCTTCCAGTTCAAGACTACATCCCCCATCATGCATTGCTTCCAGTTCAAGACTACATCCCCCATCATGCATTGCTTCCAGTTCAAGACTACATCCCCCATCATGCATTGCTTCCAGTTCAAGACTACATCCCCCATCATGCATTGCTTCCAGTTCAAGACTACATCCCCCATCATGCATTGCTTCCAGTTCAAGACTACATCCCCCATCATGCATTGCTTCCAGTTCAAGACTACATCCCCCATCATGCATTGCTTCCAGTTCAAGACTACATCCCCCATCATGCATTGCTTCCAGTTCAAGACTACATCCCCCATCATGCATTGCTTCCAGTTCAAGACTACATCCCCCATCATGCATTGCTTCCAGTTCAAGACTACATCCCCCATCATGCATTGCTTCCAGTTCAAGACTACATCCCCCATCATGCATTGCTTCCAGTTCAAGACTACATCCCCCATCATGCATTGCTTCCAGTTCAAGACTACATCCCCCATCATGCATTGCTTCCAGTTCAAGACTACATCCCCCATCATGCATTGCTTCCAGTTCAAGACTACATCCCCCATCATGCATTGCTTCCAGTTCAAGACTACATCCCCCATCATGCATTGCTTCCAGTTCAAGACTACATCCCCCATCATGCATTGCTTCCAGTTCAAGACTACATCCCCCATCATGCATTGCTTCCAGTTCAAGACTACATCCCCCATCATGCATTGCTTCCAGTTCAAGACTACATCCCCCATCATGCATTGCTTCCAGTTCAAGACTACATCCCCCATCATGCATTGCTTCCAGTTCAAGACTACATCCCCCATCATGCATTGCTTCCAGTTCAAGACTACATCCCCCATCATGCATTGCTTCCAGTTCAAGACTACATCCCCCATCATGCATTGCTTCCAGTTCAAGACTACATCCCCCATCATGCATTGCTTCCAGTTCAAGACTACATCCCCCATCATGCATTGCTTCCAGTTCAAGACTACATCCCCCATCATGCATTGCTTCCAGTTCAAGACTACATCCCCCATCATGCATTGCTTCCAGTTCAAGACTACATCCCCCATCATGCATTGCTTCCAGTTCAAGACTACATCCCCCATCATGCATTGCTTCCAGTTCAAGACTACATCCCCCATCATGCATTGCTTCCAGTTCAAGACTACATCCCCCATCATGCATTGCTTCCAGTTCAAGACTACATCCCCCATCATGCATTGCTTCCAGTTCAAGACTACATCCCCCATCATGCATTGCTTCCAGTTCAAGACTACATCCCCCATCATGCATTGCTTCCAGTTCAAGACTACATCCCCCATCATGCATTGCTTCCAGTTCAAGACTACATCCCCCATCATGCATTGCTTCCAGTTCAAGACTACATCCCCCATCATGCATTGCTTCCAGTTCAAGACTACATCCCCCATCATGCATTGCTTCCAGTTCAAGACTACATCCCCCATCATGCATTGCTTCCAGTTCAAGACTACATCCCCCATCATGCATTGCTTCCAGTTCAAGACTACATCCCCCATCATGCATTGCTTCCAGTTCAAGACTACATCCCCCATCATGCATTGCTTCCAGTTCAAGACTACATCCCCCATCATGCATTGCTTCCAGTTCAAGACTACATCCCCCATCATGCATTGCTTCCAGTTCAAGACTACATCCCCCATCATGCATTGCTTCCAGTTCAAGACTACATCCCCCATCATGCATTGCTTCCAGTTCAAGACTACATCCCCCATCATGCATTGCTTCCAGTTCAAGACTACATCCCCCATCATGCATTGCTTCCAGTTCAAGACTACATCCCCCATCATGCATTGCTTCCAGTTCAAGACTACATCCCCCATCATGCATTGCTTCCAGTTCAAGACTACATCCCCCATCATGCATTGCTTCCAGTTCAAGACTACATCCCCCATCATGCATTGCTTCCAGTTCAAGACTACATCCCCCATCATGCATTGCTTCCAGTTCAAGACTACATCCCCCATCATGCATTGCTTCCAGTTCAAGACTACATCCCCCATCATGCATTGCTTCCAGTTCAAGACTACATCCCCCATCATGCATTGCTTCCAGTTCAAGACTACATCCCCCATCATGCATTGCTTCCAGTTCAAGACTACATCCCCCATCATGCATTGCTTCCAGTTCAAGACTACATCCCCCATCATGCATTGCTTCCAGTTCAAGACTACATCCCCCATCATGCATTGCTTCCAGTTCAAGACTACATCCCCCATCATGCATTGCTTCCAGTTCAAGACTACATCCCCCATCATGCATTGCTTCCAGTTCAAGACTACATCCCCCATCATGCATTGCTTCCAGTTCAAGACTACATCCCCCATCATGCATTGCTTCCAGTTCAAGACTACATCCCCCATCATGCATTGCTTCCAGTTCAAGACTACATCCCCCATCATGCATTGCTTCCAGTTCAAGACTACATCCCCCATCATGCATTGCTTCCAGTTCAAGACTACATCCCCCATCATGCATTGCTTCCAGTTCAAGACTACATCCCCCATCATGCATTGCTTCCAGTTCAAGACTACATCCCCCATCATGCATTGCTTCCAGTTCAAGACTACATCCCCCATCATGCATTGCTTCCAGTTCAAGACTACATCCCCCATCATGCATTGCTTCCAGTTCAAGACTACATCCCCCATCATGCATTGCTTCCAGTTCAAGACTACATCCCCCATCATGCATTGCTTCCAGTTCAAGACTACATCCCCCATCATGCATTGCTTCCAGTTCAAGACTACATCCCCCATCATGCATTGCTTCCAGTTCAAGACTACATCTCCCATCATGCACTGCTTCCAGCCAGCAGTGACAATGTTACATTGTTCAAGACTACGAATTGTTCTTCTGTTTCGGATTCGGAGGCAACGAGCACACGGACAATGCAGAACGAGCGGCGGCCATGACGGCAGCTGGCGCGTTCTGCTTTTGCGCGCCGCCATCTTTCAGTGTATCTTGGTATACACCAAGATGGCGGCGCCCGTATGTTCGGGTGCCGCCATCTTGGTGTACGCCAAGATATTCTCAAAGAGGGCGGCGCGTCTGCGCAGAGTGCGCCGGCGACCAATATGGCCGCCGCGCGTTCTGCAAGGGAATTTACGTGCGGCTGAATAAAGTTTTTAGTATATTCGGTCATAAAATAAATTCGTTATTTCCGATGAACCGCCAATGCGCGCCGGGACAAATGTAGCGCGCAGAACGTCACCACGCGTGTGTGTGATGATGTCATCGCGCATTGCGCGGTCATCTAATTGACGCCTGCCAGTGGCCATTTTGGTGATTGGACGCCAGCAGAGAGAGGAGGGGACGTTCCCCCGGCGGGTCCTCTCCTCTCTCCTGACACTGTCGGGGCTCTCGGTCCATGAGCAGGTGCCTGACTTTTTAGAGGGGGGGGTGACCCCAAAATAACTGTCAGTCATCTAGGTGTCACCCCTCCAACGGTGTCACCCGGGGCGGCGCCCTCCTTGTGACGCCACTGCAGTAAGCGAAGTAAATAAGGTGAAGCTGCGTCCGCTCTGAATCCCCGATCCCGCGCAAGGGAAAGGAAAACCTTCCACACGACGTAAAGTGAACGTTTCCCGTGCTGGGTGAACGCGCTCTCCACGCCAATCCCCCCGGGGGCTCAGGCCGGGTTCACACCTGGGCGTTTCACAGCGCCGATCGAAGCGCCCAACGCCCGAAATACGTGCTTTCATTTGCCCTCGTTATGGGGATTTCGGAAACGCGCGTTCGCCCCGCGTCTCGTGGACGGAAATGCGCACGGCCCCAAAACGCGCGGCAAACGCGCATATTCCGGACGCCCGAGGTGCGAACCCGGCCTCAGAGTCAGAACAGAAACGTTCTGTAAATAATATCTCTCATGTGACATAGAGAACAATAGACTGCGCTAGTTCCCGCATTATATTGTTTCTCTTTATATTTGATGTTCGATGCGACTTTGTAATAAAATAAAAACATAAAACATTTCGTCTCCGGGATACAAGTCAATAAAAGCGCGCGGCCCAGCAAGACAGAACATCGCACAGAGGCAGAACAAAGTCCAAACTGAGCCGCACAGATACGGAGGATCGGAACTCGGAACACAATGACAACAATATAAAGTTTCTGTCACGCGGACACATGGAGGATGACATTGTCTCTTTTATAACATTAAAGGTCAGTGTTTTCCCCCATAGTTCTCCTCAGGGTCGGGGGAGGGACACAAACTAGCGTCCTCCCGTCACCCTAAGCTCAGTGTATAGGGAGCTACAGCTCGCGGTATACTGAGACGCCGCAGCGATCCCGACTTAGATGACGGGATCCGCCCAGCTGCGTGAGTGACAGCTGGCTCTGCCTATCTGGAGACAGCTGTGCCCGCCCCCTTCCGTTCCGCCAGTCAGCGCTGGCAGATCGGAGCGGGGAGAGGGGAATCCAGCCCCTCCCCCTGTCACGGGCAGAGAGCCGTGACAGGATCGAGAGGTGAGCGAACGCCGGTATGTGTTCGCTCACCTCCCGATCTTCTGAGCCGACCTGTGACAGTCTCATTGTCACACGTCGCCCCCAAACTATGAGGCGAGTGAAACCCCCCCCCC